TTTTTTGTGTTGTCCCAAAGTAAGCTGAGCAATTTGAAAGCCGTTTCTCTAATTCGTGAGAGAAGCTCAATTAACTTTTAGAATTGATTTTATTGTGGCTCTGTGTGCCCAGGTAGGTGATTTCTACCTTTGAGATTCAACTGGGCTTAGAAAATATTGCTTTGAACAGGATAGTTCAGTTTGGAGGGAACCTTAAACCTCATCCAGTGCACCCCTACCAGGGGCAGGAACATCTCGGAGCAGCTTCCTGAGCCTCTGAACCTTTAGGTTCCATTTGTACAAGTCGGGCCAAGCCTGACTCCTCCCTTGGTGTGAGCAGGAATCCGTGCCAGCCTGCCTGACCCTGCTCCTTCTCTTGCAGGCCGTGGCCATGGATGCATTATCCCTGGAGCAGCAGCTCCCCCCGTACCCCTTTTTCACCCAGACCAGCTCCCAGCAGCAGCAGCAGCCCCCCGTGGCCAGCTCCTTGCCCCAGACCCCCCCTCTGCTGCAGAGCTCGGGGCTGCAGAGGGGTCCCCAGCTGCCCCCCCTGTCTGTCACGGTACCTTCCACCATCCCCCAGTCACCTCCAGGGAGCCAGAGCCAGCCCTCCATGGGAATTGACATCAACTCGGTGAGTTCGGCCAGGGAAAGCCTTGGGGAATGTGCACTGGGGGGGGGAAATCAGCCTGGACAACCCCGTGAGCATGACGAGTTTAAGGAGGCTGGAGAAAATTTGAAATGGTTTTGGTGCAATGCAGCTTCAAATGTTTTCTAGAGGAGAATTTTTTGTTAAATTTTTGTCCCTGGTTTGATGAGACACAGCTTAAACCTATCAGCATCTGTCTTGAATCTACCTTAAATCTATTTACTGGGAGATTTTCAGGGTGTTCAGGGTCCCCCCAGCACATCATGAACAGACTGGGGGAGCTCCCAAAGCCTTGAGGGAGAGTCCAACAACCGTTTTCCAATAAAATACCATCTGGAAAATTTCTTTTCCAAAAGTTGTTGAGAACCAGGTCCTTACTGCCCTTTCACTACTTAGAACCCTTTTCTTTTGAGGAATTTTTCGTGTATTCCAAAATGAGATTTGTGGCTGCCTCCAGTGCCCAGAAGAATTGGAGCAAGGATTTGTGGACAGATCCCTTTTCGTGCTTGTTTGAAATGTTAGGAAATGTTCAGTCCCAGCAGCTGGAAATCCCAAATGAGGAGTCACAGGCCAGGAGGGAAGAAGGGAAGTGCCAGCCCCCCCGGCAGGGCTGCAGGGACAGGGGTGGCTTTGGCAATGAGCACACCTCGGTTGGGGATGGGATTTGGAGCTCTCGGTGCTCCCTGGTGCTTCCCTTGCAGGGTGGGCAGGGGAGGAGGGAAGGACGAGCCTGCAGTGGGGGGAGGATCCCACCCCGCTCAAAACCTGTCCCTCCTCTGATTCTGGTCCTCGTGTAGCACCAGCACAGACAACTCTGATCTCATCCTTTGCTTTCTGTGTTGCTTTCCTCGTCCTAAACCTCTTGATGACCTGAACTTTTGGGCTGCTGTGCTTATCTTCTAAAGCAACTCAAGTAATTCCTAAATAAACAGATTTAAAGCCACTTTATCAAAAAGCCTTTGGAGCTGTCACAGCCTCGCTGGCAGCTTCTGCAGGGCTTTTGTAAAGCAGAATTGGAATTTATTTGTAGTTTGGGTGGCTGCTGACAGGTTGTAAGTGGAAATGCAGAGCAAAAAAGGAAATTTTCTTGGGATTTACAGAGTTTGGGGTCAAAACATTGGTAGTGCAGAGTTCTCCCACACTGCAAATCGATTAAATTCCCTAGATTTAATCTCCTCAATCATCCTTTAATTTCTAATGGAATAAAATAAGAAGAGCTGGGCTACTCTTGATGTTAATTAGTGCAGCATTATTTAAATACCATTGATATTATTAATTTGCTCCAAACCAGGATTCTTTATGATGAGAAAAAATAATAAATCTTTGAAAATAACTTCTCAAGACACCTGAGGAGAGTATAAAACTCCCAGCTGGAAGCCTGCAGAGCACAGTGTGAATTCCCTGGGGGTGCCTGCTCCGTGTCCCGGGGTGCAGAGGAGTTGGGGGCAGTGTGGGCACAGGTTGGGAGCCCAGGTTTGTCATCCAGGTGTTCTCACCTGCTAAAGCAGCTGCAGGCAGAGCAGGGTCCCAGTGCTCACACACGTGGGGCTGGCACTGCAGCTGAAGCATGAATTCTTTCCGAATTATTATTCCCAGACTTCTTTGCCCTAAACCCTTGCCCGATTTTTTTATTTTAATACATTTTGAACCGAGCAGGAGACGCTCCCAGCCCTGGGGCTGTCCCGGAGCTCTGCCCAGCCTGGTTTCAGGAGCTCATTCCCGTCGGGCTGTGTTCACACAGAGCAGCTGTGGAGGATGTTTTGGGCAGTGTTTAACTGTGTGTTGTTCTGTAGGCCTCTCTCCAGCAGTACCGCAGTAATGCTGGCTCCCCAGCCAACCAGTCTCCCACCTCTCCTGTCTCCAATCAAGGCTTCTCTCCTGGCAGCTCCCCTCAAGTAAGGGACTCTGTGCTTCCACAGGCCTTGCTTCTCGTGTGTGTTGCCAGCCGGGTTTGTGCCATCGGTGCTCGTGTCACTGTCACTCCGTGTGTGCCTCTCCCTCCCCTGCTCCCACCGGCCTTCAGGAGCTGAGCACACAATCACAGCACCAGGCTGGAGCACCGGGCTGGCCTTAGTTTGGGGGGCACAGCCTCCAGCTGGGAGCCTTTCAGCTCCCCAGGACCCCGGGGGAGATGATGGCTCTGGGGTCAGGAGGGCAAGAAAGGGGAGATTTCAGTTTCCTGCAGCAGCAGGGCACTGAATATTTAAATATTTACAAAATATCGACACTAACTGTCCCAAACCTGTTTAGATCAAGACCTTTTTGATGTGAGAACACACCCAGTGAGAGAAAGCACTGGAGGAAATGCTCTTAGAATGAGCAGCTTGTGGCTGGCAGGGAATGGGTTCCCAGCACACTCCCTTGCATGCCAGCTGCCTTTCCTTGCTCTGCCTGTATCTCCTCACACATCCACATGTCCTGGGTGGAAATCACAACTTGGGGGAGTGTGTGATCCTCTCAAGGGGGATTTTTATCTGCCAGCAGCAAGAAATCAGAAACAGGCAAAATTTGAGGGTGCCCCAATGTAAGAAAATGCATTTTCAGTGCCTGGTGCTGCTGAAAGAGCCCCAGCTGGAGAATCCCACCCGGAGAAAAGAAGTGCAGGGAATTCTTCCAGAGCATCACAGGAGCCTGAAAATCCATTTTCTGTTTCATCACTGAACACTGAAGGATCCTTTGTAAATAAGTGCTGCCCCTTCCTGGTTCCCAGGCAGAAGCTCCAGGTCTCCCTCCTTAGCCAGGTCATGGTAAGCTCAGCCCTGGATCCCAGTGGCAGGAATTGATCCCTGCATTTCCTTAACCCTGCCTCAATTGCTTCTTAACCTCTCTCTCTCTCTCTCCTGCCATGCTTCTGTGAGTTCTGCTGTGCTCTGTGTGCCTCCAAAAAAACCAGCACTGGCCCCTAGAGCAGAGCATGCTGCAAACTCTCAGTTCTCACTGGACAGCACGTCCAAAATTTGGGTTTTATGTTGATTTTTTTTCCCCCTTTTGGTTTCTCAATCCCTCTGGCTTGTTTTGTCCCCACTGGTCAGTGCCAAGGACCAGAGCACACACTGGGCTGTGATTTTCCCTGCTGGTTTTATCCTGTAAAAACTTCTTCAGGTTTTGCTGTTTGACAGGAACACCACAGCTCTGAGTAGAAGGCAGAGGATTTATTAATTCTGCTCTCTGTAGTTCTCAAACACCCACAGAATTCCTTAGTTTTGCTGAATTAAAACCGAGGTGGATTTGGTGCCTCCAGAAATGACCCAAAAGCTGCTGGTGGTCATAAACAAGAATTGTGGAGAGGGGAAAAACCAGTTTGGAGAGGAAATTGGGGTTGGTCACGAAGATGGGGCAGCTCCAGGCAGCAGAATCCTTTGATGTGCCCGGAGTGGAGGCAGAGCCCTCCCAGGAGCAGAAAATTCCCTTGTGGAGCAGCCTGGGTGACCAGGCAGGTGCCTCCCTGTGCTCCTCTTCCTCCCGTGGATTTGGGATTTCAGAGTGCCAGAGGACATTCCCTAAAAAAAAAAAACAAAAAAAACAAAAAAAACCCCCAAACCCAGGCTTTGATTTGTGTCCCACATCCAGCAGAGGTTTCCCCCCTCTCCCAGTGCCTGTCCCCTGTCCCAGCTCTGTGTGTGTGTCCCACCAGTGCTCCCAGTCCCCCAGGGATGGGAGAGCTGTGCCTGCCCCCCCAGCTCTGTGTCTGCATGGCTTGCACCCCTCATTCCTGTTAGACACAAATATTCCTGCTCTGGTGCCTCTCACCTGGACAACCCGGTAGGTATTTTTAGATGGATCATCCCAGCCAGGGATTTGTGCTTTGGGGTTGGTTTTGGGGGTTTTTTTTTCCCCCCCTCACAGTCACTCCATGAACCCCAGAAGATGCTCTGGTAACTCTCCAGCAGTTCTGGAGATGGTGTTTGCACGATGTTGTTCTGATAAATGATTCTGAGGCTCTGTAGCGTTGGAGAAATGACATTTCCAGTGGGAATTTTGGGTTTTCTTTGGGAATTCTGGGTTTTCTTTGGGAATTTCCATGCCTGCAGCTGTAGGAACCAGCACACTTCACAGGAGGAACAAACCCAGGCTGAGTTTTGGTAGGAGGCTCTGACCTGCCCTTGCACAAACACTTTCTGCTCTCCTGGTGATTATTTCTCCTGTTCCCCGAAATTTTTTTGGGATGGGAACAGTGCTCGGTGAAACACAAAGATTTTGGGGATTGTCTTTATTTTGGGAATTGTCTTTTCATTCCTGTTCTGTGGAATGAAACCACAGGAGTCAAAGGGACAAAATACCTTGATCCTCTTTGGAGCTCTCAAATAACCATTGGATTTCAGAGCTGGTTTTGCTTCCTGTCAAGTCTGTGCCATCCCAAAATTCAGATTTCCCTTGGCAATGGTTGTGAGCCATAGGTTGGACTGGATTTAGGTTGGTTAAGAACCCCCAAATTTTCTTTAAATTGCTTTAAGTGGTGCTTTGCTTATTTATCTTATCAGCATTTTATCAGTGACTCTTGTGGTGTTTGATCCCTTTTCCCCCCAGTGTTGATGCCCAGGTGAGAAATTGGAAAAGTGGCTCCAATTCCAGCCCTTTCCCAGTTTTAGCTGCACATGGAGCTGGGATTGTTGGGGGGTCTGGCTGTGAAAGGGAATCCCAAATCTCTGGATCCCATAAATGCTCAGGAAAGGGAATCCCAAATCTCTGTGCCCCCAAAGATTTGTGACAGCCCAGGGGTCAGTTTTTAAGGAATATCTTGGTGCTTCTTTCCCCTCATGGAAGGGGTAATTTCGGGTTTTTTTTAATTATTTTTTTAATATAAGGTGGTTTTTTGAGGGTCTAAAATCCGTGCCTGTTCTGATCCTTCCTAAGCTTTTCCTGAGTTTCCCCGGTTTTTAAGGAGGAAATTTGTAGCCTTCTGCTTTTGCCATGTGGATAAAGCAGAACTAAATTTTGTTTTCCAAGACTGAGACAACCAGTGCATGGAAATTGTCTTTTATAGGTGTTCTCTTTGTCAGTTAATGGTGGTTTTTTTCACCTGGAATATCAGGATTTGGGAATTGTAAATCAGGATTTAAAACTGCCAAATTTTTATCTGGCATTTTAAATCAGGATTAAAACACGGATCTCAAATCCATGATCACCTTCAGAATAATTGATAAATGATGGAGAATAACTGAGGGAGTGATTTAGGCTGAGGAATTCCTCCTGGAATTCTTCACTGGCTTCCCCCTGGAATGATTTCAGAGCAGGAATTTTGTGCTTTGAGGCTGCAGGTGCAGAGCAGCCCCTCCTGTCTCACTGTGGGGATTTGTGTGGAATTCTTCCACCCCAAATTCCAAACAAATCAGAAATCCCAGTTCTGCTCTCCCTGTCCCTAAATCCCATTTTTCTGTGGTGTCCCCATGGCAGGTGTGGGGTCCTGGGGGATTCCTGCTCCCCTTTGGGATCTTTGTGGTTCCCCAGGGATTTTTTGCTCCCCGTGGATCCGGGAGGATCCCGTGGGCCCTGGGTGGTTCCTGCCTGCCCTGTGCAGATTTCTCTGGAATTCCCAGATTTCTCTGGAATTCAGATTTGTCAGGGATTCACATTTCCCAGGAATTTTGTTCCCAGGAGCTCAGGTTTGTCTGAAATTCAGATTTCTCAGGAATTTTGTTCCCAGGAGCTCAGATTCCTCTAGAATTCAGATTTCCCAGGTTTCCAGGAGCTCAGATTTGTCAGAAATTCAGATTTCCCAGGAATTTTGTTTCCCAGGAGCTCAGATTTCTCTGAAATTCAGATTTCCCAGGAATTTTGTTTCCCAGGAGCTCAGATTCCTCTAGAATTCAGATTTCCCAGGTTCCCAGGAGCTCAGGTTTGTCTGAAATTCAGATTTCCCAGGTTCCCAGGAATTCAGGTTTCTCTGAAATTCAGATTTCCCAGGAATTTTGTTTCCCAGGAGCTCAGGTTTCTGCGGTGCTGCCGGGGCAGCAGTTGGGGATTTTGCACCATTAAGCCTCTGTTTTGTTTTCAGCATTCTTCCATGCTGGGCAGTGTTTTTGGGGACTCCTATTATGAGCAGCAGATGACAGCTAGGCAGGCTAATGCCCTCTCCCACCAGGTGAGCAAATTCATCTCTCCCACCTCCAATTAATCCCAATTAACTCCTGATTAATTCTCTGTCACGTTCTGTCCATGTAGAGTTTTTATTTATTTATTTATTTATTTATTTATTAAATTTATTTTTTGTTTGTTTGTGTTACTCTGCAGTTTCTTGTTTTGTTTGTTTCCCCGTCCCACGCAGGTGTTCTGCCAAAAAAAAAATAAAAATTCAAAATGTACATAATGAGGAAGCTTTTAAAAATTGAAATAATGCCAGGCAGCTTTGAAAAGGGAAAATGGCAAAAAAGAAAATATTCAAGCAGCGAAAATCAGCTTGAAAAAAAAAGGAAAAATAAGATTTGGAGAGGGAAAATAGTGAGATTTTAAAAAATGGAAATCAGCTTTAAAAGGGGAAAAATAATGAAAAGAAGTTTTTAAAATAATGGAAAAATAGTGAGCATTTTAAAGTGGAAAACAGCTCTAAAAGGGAAAAATAATGAAAAGTCTTTAAAATAATGGAAGGCTTTAAAAAGGGAAAATAAGGAAAAGAATTTTTCTAAATAATGGAATTTTTCTAAAGAAAGCCGATGGCATTTGAAAGAATAATATTGAGATTTTTAAATAACGAAAATTCGTTTTAAGAAGGAAAAATAAAGACAAAAAACTCTTAAAGTAATGAAAACTTTGAAAGGAAAAAGAATGATATTTGAAAGAGGAAAATACTGAAAATCTTTAAGTAAGGAAAATGCATTTTTAAAAGGAAAAAAATGAAAATAAATTTTAAAATAATGAGAATCAGCTTTAAAAATAAAAATGAAAAAATAAAAATTAATTTTTTTTAAACTGAAAATTTTATCAAGGAAAAATATGAAATTAAATTTTAAAATGAAAAACCAACATTTTTAAGTAATGAAAATAATTCTGACAGAATTTAAGATACCGAAAATTTTAAAAATTAATCATCATGGAAATACATTGAAAAATTAAAACAATTAAATATTTCAGGCTCCACATTTCTTGATGGAGTTGCAATTGGGAAAGATTCCCTTGGAGGTGATGACAGGATTGAGTCAGGAATTTCTGTGGGAATAATCCATGGCTGGTTTTATTTGGGAATAATCCGAGCCTGCCTTGGCTTGGCCAACCAGAGCATGGATGAATTCAATAATATTGGGATGTGTCCTGGATTAATTCAATATTAGGATATGTCCTGGATTAATTCAATAATTGGATGGGTCCTGGAATAATTCAGTGCTGGGATCTGTCCTGGATTAATTCAATGCTGGGATGTGTCCTGGATTAAATAAATTCTGGGATGTGTCCTCGGGGAATTCTGCGGGGCACAGAGCTCAGGGCCAGCCTCAATTCCCTTTTCCTTTAACTCCTCCCTTTGCTTTGGTTCTCCCTCCCCAGTTTGGTTTTGCCTCCCGGTTCTGAATTGGGCAGGGACCCCCGGGCCAAGAGCCCCTTTGGGAGCAAGGAAAGATGAATTTGTTTGCCTGTCCTTTGTCCTGTCCTTGTCGCCGTGTGCCCGGGGGCTGGGCGTTCATTAAGTCGTTCATTAAGTCGTTAATTAACGCGTTCATTAAGCGGGGTCTCGGTGTGTGTGCAGCTGGAGCAGTTCAACATGATCGAGAACGCCATCAGCTCCACGAGCCTGTACAGCCCCTGCTCCACCCTCAACTACTCGCAGGCTGCCATGATGGGACTGACGGGCAGCCACGGCAGCCTGCACGACCCGCAACAGCTCAACTACAGCCACAGCAACATCCCCAACATCATCCTCACAGGTGACAGCCCGGGGGACCCCACGGCTGGGGATCACAGAACTGGGGGGATCATAGAGCTGGGGGATCACAGAGCTGGGGGGATCACAGAGCTGGGGGGGATCACAGAGCTGGGGGGGATCATGGAACTGGGGGGATCACAGAGCTCGGGGATCACAGAGCTGGGGGGATCACAGAGCTGGGGGGATCACAGAGCTGGGGGATCACAGAGCTGGGGCTGATCCCAGCTCTAGGGGTGTCCCCAGCTCTGGCAGTGCTCCCAGAACTGGGGGTGCTGGTGGGGATTTATCCTGCCCCTGAATTCCCTGGATTCTGTGCTGCAGTGAGGAAAAGCTGTGGGAGCCAAACTCCTTCCTGTGCTCAGCCCAGGCTGGCCAGCAAAGGGCTGGGGTGTCACATATGGTGGCCAGTCTGGTCACAGTGGGATTTTGGAAGCAATCCCTGGCCAGGCATTCTGTAGCTGCAGCTGATGGCAATGGTGGAAATTGAGGTTATTCCTCCTAACCCTGGGGGAGAGAAAAGACTGGGGTTACACCAGGCCTGAATTCTGTGTCGTGTTTGGTGGCTTGGAGATGCTGTGAGGAATCTGAGATCTGCAGGAAGGGTGGATGTTCTTCATCTGAGAGCTCCATAAATATTTCCAGGGTTTGTTTTTTTGGTTTTTTTTTGGGGGGAGCTGTTTCTGACTTCCCCACTGCTGTTCTGTCCCCTGCAGTGACAGGAGAATCCCCCCCCAGCTTATCAAAAGAACTGACCAGCTCCTTGGCGGGCGTGGGGGACGTCAGCTTCGACACGGATTCCCAGTTCCCCCTGGATGAACTCAAAATTGACCCCTTGACCTTGGATGGACTGCACATGCTCAACGACCCCGACATGGTCCTCACCGACCCCGCCACAGAGGACACGTTCCGCATGGACCGCCTGTGACCTGCCAGGACCTGCACCCCCGAGGGGCCACACCCCTGCCACCCTGGGGGACACACCCAC